TGACCATCATCATTGTCATCATCTTCATCGTCACATGTCCCCCTGGATCCCGAATTTCATTATCCCCAGGGGGCTATTACCGCGAGCACAGGGTCATCCGCGATTTGGATGGTATAATATGAGGATGGGCTGGCATTTCCCAGAGTTGGATCACATTAGCACGACGATGAGCAGCACGACGGACTCCAGCAGTATGACGATGTGCTGCACGATGTGGACTTATGCAGCACTTTGATGAGCAGCAGGATGGAATTGGGCACCACGCCGTTATCCAACACATTAGAGTCGAATACTTCCTCACAGGCGCGCAGCGCACCAGCTTCGATTCCAGCGCCGATCGCATAGCTGACTGCCGCTCCATGGCCAGTGCCGCCACGAGCGGCAGCTACAGGATGCATGTTGGCTCCGACTCTGGCCTTGCCTCCAGACCCGACGCCAATCCCGACAGCCGCTACACCCAGACCAGAGGCGCATGCTTCGGTTCCAACTCCATGTTTCGGCTGAGTTCATTCTTCGTCCTCCCGACCCTTTTGCGGGCCTTGTTAGGTATGTTCTGTTGTACGCGTTCATGAGCCAGGCACTCCATCCGGGAGGGCCGCTGTTAATCAGCGAGCCTCCAGCGCCGACTGGTCGGGGCTGCCTTTGTTGTTGATTATGTTACATTTACCTGTTTCATCTGCCCCGCAACCCCAGGTTCCTTTCTTTTCTCCTCGTTCGGCTTCTCGCTTCTGCCCGTGTGGGAAAAGTGTGCGAGCGCTGACGGCGAAGCCCCGTATGTATACGCACGCGCGGGTTCTTGCGCCCTTCGTTCCTCGCTCCCCTCCTCCTGCCCTTCGGTCTGATGCAGTGCTGGACATATGCATTGGCCGCTCTGGCCATTCGGGGCTTGTGCACAACACCGCTCCTATCAGGGTGATGCTGTTTGGAAGGTAATTGGTCTCATTCTGCCAGTAGTTTCTCCTTCCCCCCTCCTCTTTCCTCCTCCTCCTCCTCCTCCTTCTCCTGTTCCTCCTCCCCCTCCTCCTGGAATGTGGTACATTTCCTCGGCTGGCCACTTTGGACCTCTGCCGATTTGCAGTTTCACAGCGATTCGGGCCCATGCCCACGCTCGTTGCCACGGGGTGACAGCGATTCTTCAACCCGAGCAGTAATAGCCCCCTTGAGGGGAAGCGGATGCGATGCGCTGTCGGAGCGGGGGATGTTGCGGATGGGCGTTTGCGGTGAAACAAAATTATGGAGCGGTGGCGCTTCGTTCAAGGCTTCCCTGTCGCAGCGGCGCTCCCTGGCAACATCGAGCTCGCCAACTTTGTCCTGACGGCCTATGTCCAGGGGCTCTACGACGGCGGGCTCCCGTACTCGTGAGGTGCCGACGAGCTGGTGGCCCCTCGCTTCATGTGGCCCTTCCCGCGCGACTGGCTGCGTATGGCTTGGGCGGTGGTCGCCAGGTGGCGCAACTTCGAGCCCGCCGAGGTGCGCGTGCCCGTGCCGCTGGGCGTCGTCGGGGCCATGCTGCTCAGGTGCTGTTGTGGCCCCAGGCCGCCTGCGCCTGCTCGTCGCCGTCCTATTTTTTCGTCGGACCCGGTGAGACCGCCTCCGCCCTCGGGCGCCCCATGCTCCTCGCAGGGGCCACCGGAGGCGAGCTCAGCACTGGCATCTTCAGCACCACCAGTGCAAACACGGCCAACAGGGGCGCCAAGCTCCAGAGTGAGCTCATGTATGATCCGGCACTGCTGGCCCTGACGTGCGCCGAGTTTGGCCCCCTGCCGCCCACCGCCTCGATCTGTCCAGGTCAGCTGCGGGGACTCGCCCAGCGCTTCAGTGAGGCCAAGCGAGTGCTGGGCATCGAGAGCGCTCTGTTCAGCCTGGGCTCGCTTCGGAGAGGCGGCTCTATTCATCGTGTCAGGCTTCACCAGGGTCTCGGCGCGTTTCAGTTCAGAGGCATGTGGGGAGACGCCACTGGCGTGAGTCACTGCATCCAGATGGGCTCCTCGGAGTTCGCCTATGCCCAGGTGGGATGTGACTGCCTTAGCGGGCCCGCAAGCTGGCAACGCTGATTCGGCACATCTTTCCCGACACAGCTTTCACTAGGGGAAAAAGAAGTGGTATAAACATAAAAACTCGGAGGTCCGCGCGGATTTCTCGGACCGGCGCTGGACCCCCCTCCCTGGCGCGCGGAGCGCGCCAGGGGCGGCGCCGGAGGCGCCGCCGGGGGGCCCCAGCGCGATCCGAGAAATCCGCGCGGACCTCCGAGTTTTTATGGTAATGTCACCTTTTGTCCCCCCATTCACAGCAAAACAGTTCAGGTTGGATGCGGCTGAGCTTTCTGTTTAGCTGAACCTGGAGGCAGCGCCCACCTCTCGGGCCTCGTGCGCGCCCCATTCTCTCGGCCAGCTCGACTCGGGAACCTTGCATGTCGATGTGTTTTTTTCAGGAAAAACATCGTGCACCAAGACAGACGATGCCTAGGTGTGTGATGATGACGGTGATGATGAATGTCTGGATGAACGCGATGACGATGACGATGAAGATACCGATGGCAACGAGGACGAAGACGATGGTGTTTGTTATTTTTTAGGCTTATGGTGCTGATGGTGGCTTTCTTGACCCAGCGGCTGCACACGACGCAGATGGCATACTTTGTTGGTGGTAGGAACAGATTATGACATGGAGGAGAATGAGTCTGCCATCGCCGAGGTGCAGACCAGGAACTCTTTGGGATGTCGCGGCGAAGGGGGTCGCGCAGCGGAAGGACCGCCCCTGCGGACGGCAGTTCGGCTCGTGCGATTTGGTCAGAGTACGGTTTTGACCGCCTCGGCCTATCCTCCTGATTCTCTTCTATGCCCCTTCGTACTCCTCCTCACCCTCCGCTCCCTCCACCTCCCCTTCCCCCATTCTGCTGCCGCTTCTGGCCCATCCCGCCACCCCGACAATACATGAACACCTCCTCCGCCTCCGCGTGCGCAGGCCTCTATCTATCCCCATCCTGCTGCTGCTGCCTCTTCTACCATGTTAGTTTCCAGCCCCCCCCTCTCCTCCGAGGGTAAGCACTCGGTTCCCCTCCCGTTGTCTAACTGTTCTCGGGCGCCGAACAATGTTCACAACCTGTGCTTGCCCGGCTTATTGATCCATTGTGTTCTGCCTTCCCTGGCCTCCCAGTGTACTCTCCTCCCACCCTATTCTACCCTAGTCCTACTCATTTCTACTCTATTCTACTCTTCTCTACTGTCATCTGCTCCAGCAGACGAAGCCAGGCGGATAGCAGAGTAAATCATGTGGGCAGTTTAGACGAAGCTGGGCGGCAAGCAGAGGAAGCCATGCGGAAGGTTTGACGACCGTGACCTACTTCATTCCTCTCCTACTCTACGCTACCTCTACCACTACCTCTATCTGTTTCTGTAACTCTACTCTACTCTACTCTACTCTACTCTACTCTACTCTACTCTACTCTACTCTACTCTACTCTACTCTACTCTACTCTACTCTACTCTACTCCTTCTTTGTTTTACTCTAACGTACTCCTGTCCTGTCCTGTCCTCTCCTCTACTCTGCTCTACGCTACTTTACCCTACGCTACTCAATTCAAATCTACTCTACTCTACGCTACTCGTGCGACATTACATTACCGTACCCAACTCTACTCTATTGCACCCTACTCTACGCCACTCTACCGTACTCCACTCAGTTTTGTTCTGCTCTACTCCACTCCACTCTATTCTATTCTACGCCACTCTACCCTACCCTATGTCACCTCACTCTACCCTATTCTATTCCACACTACTCTATGCGGATCGCAGGGGAAGCCATACGCATAGTTGGACGAACATATGGGACGACATGGGGGGGGGGAAACCAGATGACCAGTTTTCTATGCATTGACCTCGGACTCCTATAGGCAAGCCTATTCGGAGAAACAGTGCAGGACGCAGGAAGTCCAAGGCAGCGCCTATAGGGAGAGAGAGGAGGGCAGAGGTGCCGAGAGAGCGGGAGGAACAAGGGAGGGGGAAGGGAGAAAGGCGCCTCCTCCGCCCCCTCGTCCACCTCCACCGCTTCGGCGGGCCTTCTTCCTACTCCTCGGCGAGGAGCTGCCTCCCGCGCGCGGGGCACCCCTCACTCCTCCTCCTTCGCGGGCTGTCACGGGCAAGTTCTGCACAACACTTATGGTGACTCGTGCTGGTGTGCGCAATAGGATGAAGTAGCTACACCAGGCATCTCGCCCTGATTATGGTAGGTAACCGTTGCCATAGCTTCTGCTGTCTAGCGACATACACGCATGTATGTGTAGATCGGTATGTTCACGTGCATATCTGCATGTTGGCATCCATCTATGTCTATATGTGTTTTTTACACATGTGTGTATTTCCTTATATGCATTCGAGTGGTGTTATAATCCGTGAGGGCGTCTTGACGCGTTGCAGGGTAAGCAGGGCCAGGGACCCGCGGCTCAGGGCCAGGGACACCTATGGCGGGCGAGCGGAACACGGCACCCAGGAAGGCAAGGGGGACCCAGGGGCCGAATGCCTTGGCCTGATCCCAGAAAGTTACAAACAAAAGCGCAAGTGGGGCAGGCGACCAGAAAATTGCAACCGATAAGGAAGCGGAGCGGGGGAACCCATGGCCAGGGATCGGAAAATTACACCCGACAAGGCAAGCGGGACCAGGGATCTTATGACCAGCGTTCAGAATTTCGCAACCCACATCGCCAATTCTTGCCTCCGAAGTGCCATCACTGAGCGGGCAAGGATGTGCATCCGACGTGAGGCGTCCGTGATTTTGTGCACTATCATCGCCCTTTTGCTCCGACTCGCTATCCTGCTAGCCCTTGACTGCCGCCATCGCTCGTTCCTCTGCCCGCCACTTTGGCTCTTGCCAAGGGCGGCTTGTGCCAGGGCCCCACCGCAATGACGGGCACGCGGGTCACTCTGCCAATGCAGCCGCGCCGCCTTTTCTAACATAAAAATCATAAAGAGGGTGGGCCAGACGGCTTTGTTTTAATCGCCGAGATGGGCATGCACCTGGAGGAGGATCGGAGGATTCCATTCGTACACCAACACCGATCTTGACCAGGCCGATCCTGGGCCCAGGAGGGGCCTGGCGAGGAACGGTGCTGGTGTGCTGGTGTCGTCCTCCTAGAGGAATTCAACCAGTCGAGGGGCGACCCTCTGTACGCAGAGGCCGTCCAGCCCCCCAAGGAGCCGCCACCAGGGCTCGTGGTGGGCTTGGTCACAGAGTGCTTCCCAGGAGTCGACCAGGAGGTCCTCGGCAGGAAGGGGAGGGCGCGACGAGGACTGCCACGGGCCCAAGGGAACCTGTAGGAAAAGGTGTCCTACAATTCGTATTTTTTCGGCCCCTCGGGGCTGTTCCTGGGCGCCGGAGCCGTCAAGCCGATTCGGGGGATCCCCGAGGTGCGCAGGGCTCGTTTTCCTCAAGACCCCTTGTGGACCTGTGGCAGATGAGGAGTGGGAGGGGGCTCGTTGCACTTGTTGCGCTCCTCCTCCTCCTCCTCCTCCTCCTCCTCCTCCTCCTCCTCCTCCTCCTCCTCCTCCTCCTCCTCGTTGCACTTGTTGATCTCTCGATCTGCGCTTCGCCGCGCCTCACGCCGGACGGAGCCTCGGAGGACGGGCCAGCATCCGCGGGGCGCAGCGAGAGAGAGAGAGAGAGAGAGGGAGAGAGAGCGGCCCGAGGGGGGGGTAGGGAGGTGCCCTCCCAGAGGTCCTGGCAAGCTGCCGCGACGAGCTCGACCGGATCCAGCGGCTGACGAGCGCCCAGCTGACCGCGAGGGAGGACCTCAGCGGAGGCTACACCCTCGTCGTCGCGGGCACCCGCCCCATCGTCGAGCGCGCTGCCCCGCAGGTCGAGCGCGCTCTCGCAGGCGCAGGCCCTGGGATCCTCAAGCCCCGGGCGCGTGCCCCCCCTTGGGGCCGCGGGCGTCGCAGCAGGACAACGAACGGGTGGTCCGGAGGAGGAGGAGGAGGAGGAGGAGGAGGAGGAGGAGGAGGAGGAGGAGGAGGAGGAGGAGGAGGAGGAGGAGGAGGGGAGGAGGAGGAGGAGGAGGAGGAGGAGGTAGGAGGTGGAGGAGGAGGTAGGAGGTGGAGGAGGAGGAGGAGGAGGTGGAGGAGGAGGAGGAGGAGGAGGAGGAGGAGGATGAGGAGTAGTAGGAGGAGAGGTAGAGGGGAGGAGGTAGGAGGAGGAGGAGGAGAAGGAGGAGGAGGAGGAGGAGGAGGAGGAGGAGGAGGAGGAGGAGGAGGATTTTTTTCATCAACGGCAAAAAGCAGCCCGCGTCGGGCGTGGCCAGCACGAGCACCACGAAGATGAGGAAGACCACCGTGAGGTAAATAAACTGCACCACGCCGTCGTCAACGCCATACTCGAGCGAAGGTATAGCGATGACCACTCCGTGCATAACGCAATGTCGATGAAAGCCCCACGGCGTGCATGACGCCCTACACCGCCAGTGGACCCGCACAAAGATGACGAACCGCCTGACCACAGCAAAAATACGCCACAGCCCCACGCCCCGCCCAGTGCAGACGGCCCAAAGACAGTGCCGATGATCATCCGTAGGTAATGGGCGTCACTCCACCAGCACGCATTACGCCAGCACGCTGTAAATATCCATTGGAAGTGGTAACAATGAATACAGAACACCTCACAATTGCAAGATGTGAAAAATTGACATCTCAGAACTGTAACGATGAATGAACATGATACAGCAAAGCGTCTGCCTTACTTGCCCATGCGGGCCTGGGCCAGGCTCAGCCACACGAGGACGCCGACAAGAACCCAGATAAAGGAACGATGCTGATAACAAATGCGGCAAACCCACAATCCCACCACTGCGATGACGTGCCGTACGCCCCAAAAAGGGGGAAAGGCCACTGGCACGTGAAAGAATAACAGCGCTGTGAATAAATAGCGTGGGCAACACGTCCAGGACGAGCTCAAAAAGAAGCCCCGAAAATGCACACCGCCTCGACGGAGCCGGCACGAGCACGAACATGGCAGATAACGGTAGCGGATTTCCGGAGCAGATCAACCACAAGTCGCCCCCTCCAATTCGTGACAGCGCCGAGCCACAATCCCAGCGTTCACCTCCGCAAAGCTATTGTCCCCGAAAGTGCTCAAGTAAACACAGCCGTGGGTGGTACAGCCCTGGGACATGCGGGGCAAGCAAGCTTGAACCAAAGCTGGCTTGACCCGATATGGTACTTGAGAGGAGGAGGAGGAGGAGGAGGAGGAGGAGGAGGAGGAGGAGGAGGAGGAGGAGGAGGAGGAGGAGGAGGAGGAGGAGGAGGAGGAGTGGAGGGGGAGGGGGAGGAGGAGGATTGAATGGCACAAGGCACAAGTATTCGGGCGCAGGCATGATCCAGGCCAGATGGGCCTATCTCGGTTGGTCGGTGTACAAGGGGGACTGGGAGGAGGGGACGGTGGCGGGATGGGCGACTGTCACTATCTCCGATGTGGAGTTAGGCGTTCGGGTCCTTGTCTTCGGTCTCTGCACGGGTCCCTTGCAGGACAACGACGGCGCCAAATTCTCGGCTCTGATCCATTCGCTTCGTGGGCTGTCCTTCGGGGCGATGTTTCTAGGCGTGACAGGTTTGGCAACTCTTATGTCGACATTCGGGCCAAACCTGGTGCTACTCGTGCTCGTGTGCCTCAGGACGTGAGGACGGCACGGCTCAAGTCTTACGGTTTTAGTTGAGAGAGAGCGGCCCATGGGATCGGCACCATCGGCCAGGCCGTGGATAATCGTGACTGGTCTGGTGATGCACTCTGCTCGACCGATTCGGCCTCGAGGCTCGAATGGCCCGATTGTGCGAGGTGCGATTCTCGAGCACGATTGCTTCGGCCCCGAGTGCCGCCACTGGTGTCGTAGATGTAGGGTGTCTGCTCCAGGGCAGGCTGTGCGTCCTGGCTCTGCTGCTGCGCGTGCGGCGGAGTCTTCTCTCCTCTGCTCGAGGCACGCGTGGAGCCAGCCCCGACAGCTTGAGTGTCGCTGGGCACCCGGCCGTGCGTCTGGCGGCGGGCCGATGCTGCCGTCGGAGGCGCGGAGCTCCGCCGCGCCTTCGCGAGGGCGCGGCCTGGGGGGGGGGGCCTCCGCGGGGGCGCGGCGTCGCCCGCGCCTCTCGGGGCGCCCGGCGCGGGGTCGGCGACAGCCCGCACGGGCGGGCCGCACGGGAGGCCCCTCGCGGCCCGCGCGGGCGGGCCGCCGATGGCGCCCTGTGGGGGAGTGGGAGCGCACGGCCGGAGGGCCACTCGGCGGCTGGAGTGCGGCTTCCTCTCTGGAAGCGGCGAGCGCGTCTCTGCGGTCGTTACAGGAGGACTGGAGGCGCGGTGGTGGGTGCGGTCCTCAGGCGAGGGCCCTCTGCGTCGGAAAGGAGAAGAATGAGGATGAGGAGGAATAGAGAGGAGGAGGAGGAGGAGGAGGAGGAGGAGGAGGAGGAGGAGGAGGAGCAGGAGGAGGAGGAGAACAAGTAGGAGGAGGAGGAGGAGGAGGAGGAGGAGGAGGAGGAGGAGGAGGAGGAGGGGCAAGGGGAAAGGGAAGGGGAAGGGGAATCAGAAGAGGATGATGATGCTGATGATGACGATGATGATGAAGATGTTGATGATGATGGTGATGATTCTGATGACGATAATGACGATGATGATTGAGCTGCTGATGATGACGATGATGATGAAGATGCTGATGATGATGGTGATGCTGATGCTGCTGCTGATGATTATGATGCTGCTGATGATGATGATGATGATGATGATGATGATGATGATGATGATGATGATGATGATACTAAGGATGATGCTGATGACGATGATGGTGCTGATGCTGCACCTGCTGATGATGATGATGATGATGATGATGATGATGATGAGGATGAGGCTGAGGATGAGGATGCTGATGACTTTTTTCGTCATCGGTCCCATAGGGCATGAACACTGCTAACGGAGGCGACCGAAGGAGTCGTATGCACGAACCTTGGTCGAGAGCGTCCTGTGGCGTTGCACAGGAGGCTCAGAAAACAAATCACGCAGAGCACCGAGCACACGGCGCCAGCACGGCCTTACGAAGCTAAACTACGACAGACCACTGGTGACACGTACACGCACTCTGCGGCAGCACTAAACACGGTCGACGAGTGACGCCTCCTCCTCTGCTGCCACAAGAGGGGCCTCGTCCTCGTCATGGGCGAGGCGCGCGGCTACCACGCGCAAAGGTTGGCCAGGAGGCTCACGTGGCTCCTGTCCATCAGTAGAAGACTCAAACAAAAATCTCGACGCCTCTTCGTCGGCAGCAAAAACGTCGGCAGGCTCCTCTTCGCGCGCAGGCGCGCTGGAGGGCCTTTGAGACAATGCCGACGAGAGGTGACGAGAAGACGTGACAACTCGTTCAATCGAACTGGCGGCCGCCTCCTTTGCCTGGATCCGCGCCTGCAGCGCGATCATACCAGGAGTTTGGACGAGGCCAGACGACTGAGCTCCTGAGACGACCACCTCATGCGGCGGCGGCTGAGACACGGAAAAACACAAAAACGAGCTGCCCCTTCTCGTGCTGCTCGTGAGCTTCGAAGGGTCACGATAATGCGGGTAGAGGCCATTGTATATGCGGCGGAGCGTCGTCGGAGCTCCGCTCAACCGACGTTGGGAACACTCCTGTCCGAGCTTATGGCAGCGGCTAGAAGTGTACGCTCCGCACACGATGCAAAAGAAACGTGTTTTCTCGGCATCACCCTTTAAGACACGGCAGTGGGCAAGAGTGTGACCAAGGCTGACGTCTAATGTTTTACGCCACGTGCTACTCATGCCTTTGCACCCTAGCATGGGTCTGGAAAGCGGGTCGGCCCATAAAGCAAGACAATGCAAGCATCGCGACCTGCCTTGTTCGAGGTCCTGCCACGCATGCCAGCCTCCTGATTTTAAAAACTTGGACCTAGGACCACAGCTGATACGATCGAATTTTTCATGAGGAAAGGTCGAAAGTACCTTTCCGCAAACACGTGCAACTATCCGCAGTAGTTTACATTTCCTGTCCACCTCCTCGCTTTCATTCTGAGAGGGTTGGGGGTGAGAGAGGAGAGCTGTTTTGGCTTGAGCATCTGCGTGCCAGTTTCCCAAGCCGATACGACGTTCATCCTCTGGCAAGGCGTCAATCGCAGCCAACTGTCGGTGTGCTGGCGTATGAGAGACAACGGGTGCATGACCAGCGACTTCGTGCAGCAGCGATCCGCGACGCAGACCAGCGTAACGATGCTTCCTAGAAACTTGATGCATGGGATCAGCACGGCATAGCTTAACGACGGTCAGGCTGTCACCGTACCTGCTTCCTCCGAGCTGCTGGAACATGGGAAGCAAAGCCATCGCCTGATGCTCGGCGGCCTGTGATGTTTGGGGAAGGGTGTCCAGGACGGTGCCACGAGCAGTAGCAACAATTTCATTGGGTCGGGGCCCCAAAAAGATCCAGGAGTAGGAGGCCCGCGAAAGCTCACGGATACAATGCTTGCTGGTCGAACCGTCCACGCATGCATCAAGCCCCCGCAGGTCAATCGCGCCCCAAGGCACAGCGGCTCCCGAGGCGTCATACAGTTGTGGGTTAGGCTCGGGGGAAGGGGGCGGGTACGAGGCTTCAGGGTGGGGCCATTTCATCTCATCAAAGAAAAGCCGATCCTCGCTCTCTAGCGCCTCCGCATGCCATTCGACGGGAACTCCGTCAAGCGCTTCGGCTCGTGCCGCAGCCGCCGTCGGGTGCATGCGCTGCCATAGTCGGTGGCGCGCGCTGTCGGGCTGCCCGCAAAGTGGGCACAAGCCGTCAGCCTGGTACCCACAGGCGCGAGCCCGCGTACGAGTCCACACTCCCTTACAAAAACAGGTGAGAGCCAGATATTT